TATAATTAATTACCGTTCTCTGTAACGAAAATCAAAGGATTGTCATACACTTTATACGTGTGCACTAAAAGCTCATAGAATCCCTTAGGGACAACGAACAGCCATTCCGAACCACCCTAATAAAGGAGGACAACGATATTTTAATTTAGAAATTAATTTCTATATAGTAATTTATTTATTTATTTAACACAGCCTTATATAAATTGTAATTAATTGCTACAGAAAACCCCTTAGTAATATATATATATATATATATATATATACCTGCTCACCAATTGGAATCCCACATCTTTTAGCTAAAAAAAAAAAAGAAAACATTAAACAAAAAAAAAAAAGCTCATAATTATTACAACATATTATAAAACAAGAAAAAATATAAATATTTTATATAGCAAATTAAATAAAATTAATAATACTTACTGTGCATTTCAACTTCTTGATCAGTCCAATAAGTTGGTGGTGTACCAGGTGGGGTAGGTTTGTAGGATGCATAGTTAGTTGTGTAATATTCAATCCAATAAAATCATAGCTTCCTTTTACCATCTTTGTTTCCTCAGTGTAAATACCGGTAGCGTAATCACTTTTCTCTTTTCATCACTTGGGGTTATCACCCCTCACTATAGGTGCTATAAACCTTTAAATTAAACAAAATCAACAATATTGAAATTAATTCATCATATATATTTATTATTAATTATTTAGTATACTATTATGAAATATTAATGAATTAATTATTACCATCCCCACATAAAATCAACGGCTCTTGCAGCAGCTGCTTTATCTTCTTTAGTATCCTTTAGTGGTATAAACCACTTTGAAACATTGGTAACACCTATTATTCCTTTTTGGGCCTCCTGGATTAAAATTAAAAATAAAATTAAAATTAAAGAAAATATGTATATATAACTAATAAAGTTAAAATAAATAAATAAATAAATATAGATAACCTGATAGTCTCGTCGGTATACTTCAACAGCGGCTGCATGAGCAAGAATCAAATTATGAGCGACTTCGTAGGGTTCAGTTCCTGGGTTCGAAAGAGAGTTAACGGTTTGGTCGACTCCACTTCCACATCGATGAATCTTTTTTTCAATAGTTGGAGCACCATTAGTTGATTCAGCTCCGGTTGAATATGAACCATGGTTAGGTGGGAAGTCTCCACTTATGTAACCGTGGTGAGTGTACGTCCACGACTCGTTTATGGTGATCCAGTGCTTCACACGGTCGCCAAACTCGAAGAAGCACACTTCTGCATACTCCGCAAAATCTTGCCTGTCGTCGTTGTTGTTCGTTATTATTAATTATATACGAATGTACACACATTTTAATTAGTGATCATCTCATTATTATAAATGTGATTAATTAGTAAAAATTAATTAATATTGAGCTATGCTTACACTATTTTTGGGCTAGCAAAGCCACCGTACTCCTCTTGCAAGAAAGTTGGAATATCCCAATGGAAGATTGTTACATACGGCTGAATTCCTACACACACACATACATACAAAATATTGTATATATACATTACAAATCATATATATTTATGTGTGTGTGTGTTTAATAAATTAATTATGTGATTGACCTTTGGAGAGTGCATAGTCAATGACATCATTATAGAACTTGACGCCTTCTCTGTTAACGCCGCCGCTCAATCTCCCACCTAAATAAAATACAAAATAATAAGTATAACACTCACGAGGTCATCGTTTAATTAACGGAATATTCTTTTAATCTGATTTATATATATATATATATATATATATATATATATATATATATATATATATATATATATATATATATATATATATATATATATATATATACCTGGCAATATTCTAGTCCATGCAAATGATAACCTATAAGCATCCAACCCTAACTTTTTCATCAAATCAATATCTTCCTGCAAACCAATTTAGTTTACTTTTCACACACACACACACACACATATATATATATGAAACATTAATAATATTATATACCTTGAATTTATTGTAGTGGTCAATAGCAAGGCAGCCATTGCTACCATCGGATATTTTAGCTGCCATTTCCATACACATGATAATTAACATTAGACAAATAAAAAATGTATTAATTAGTAGTGTTGATCTTTATTAATATTGTAACGTAACACGTGTCTGCCTGTGGTTGATTGACGTATGTATGTATGTAATATAATACCAGGTTTGGTTATGCTGAAGGTGTCCCAAATACTAAAGGCTTTACCACCCTCCTTATAACCACCTTCTATCTGAAATATTAAAAAAAATCAACAACTTAAAAACAAAAAATGCAATAATTTAGCTATATAATGTATAATAATTTAATATTAATATCTCGAAAATACCTGATAAGCAGAAGTAGCGGCCCCAAAGACAAACTCAGTGTCAAAGTCATGTCTAGAAATATTGCTGTTGTCACTGCCTGCCATTGTGTGTATCGGGGAGTTTTTAGAGAGAGAGAAAGATATATATATATGTAGAGAGAGAAACAAGCTACTGATTATAATTAGTAGTGATGAGATTTGAGAACAAATTAAATACATGCTACCTCATATTTATAGGCGGCCCAAACCATGAGAATTTGCACGTGTTTAGTCGATATTAACATTATAGGGTTATATATGTATCACACGCCATACGTGTGTACATATAGAACCCGTAATTAAGTGGGAGGTAAATGTTACGTCTGATTAGTTATAAATGGATGTGTCATGTGTGTGATTAACCTACTCTCGAAATGATTATATAATGTTGTTTTCATTCCGATTATTTTAATTTATTTTTGTTTTATTCAATAATGTTAATAATGGAGAAAACAATAATATAATTACTCGAATAAAATAATATTCATTTCTTCGTATATGATACTTTCACCGTGCCGTTGTTTGCAAGATGGTCCGCTATCACGTTTGCTTCTCTATATACGTGAAGAATTTGTACTTCCCAATCTGTTTGTAAGAGTTGGTTGAATACGGACTATCAAGTCTTTATTCTGTAGAGAGGAAGAAACGCGCTATCTGAAAATCGACACCATTGCTGAATTTGTTGTCATGAACGCAATTATGTTTTACTGCAATTTGTTGGAAAAGTACTAGCCGTTGAATATAGCACAGGATGCACTATAAATGTGCCGTAATTTGTGCGGTTAGATTTGTAGTTGTATTATATATATATTGCTAACATAAATTTAGGAGCCAAGCATCGATGAAAATCGATTCATTTATTTATAAATAGGAAGTGGAAATTCATATAAAAACTCCATAGAAAATCGAACGTACATGAAACGGTACAAATACAAGAAAAGTGATTTTTAACAACTTGCATTTAACAACATGCGCCTAAAGTCCGTTGTAATAGTATCTATTTGACAACGTGCTTTTAATATTTTGGAGTTAAATGCAAAACCACCCCCTGTGTAATTCCTAAAGGCCAAAAAACCCCCTCGGAAAAAATAAGTCACCAAAAACCCCCTAACAAGTGTTCAATGAAGCACACTCGACCCTTTTTTGTTTTTGTCTGTTGACCGCCCGCGAAAAGACAAAAATGCCCTTCAGATAAATATATCAAACCTCTAGAATTTTATGACTTAAATGAAATTTTCAAAATTTTCAATTCAGTCCCTAGCACTTTCAATTTAGCCCTCTTCTCCAATTGAAAAAAAAAAAAACGCACACTTCAATTTCAATTTCTCAGCTCATAGCTCAACGGCGGCTGCAACGGCAGCTGTGTTTGATAGGATTTTGCGATGGGCTTTGCTATTCGTCGGAAAATTCGACGAAGTGTAGCTCGCCGGACCTCGATTGGC